ATATTTGAGGTAAACTATAACAAGTACAAAATAATAGAAAAAATTATCAGTTTTTATGATGTAAAGATGCCAAATAGAGCTGAAATCTTCATTTTTAAGCAGATAATATCTCAATAGTTTTTCAAAAGAACCAACTGTCATGTTTAAAATTGTGAGGAATTTTAAACATTTCTGAACTTTATTCTTTAACTCCATATATTCATAAGTTGCTTTTGAAGTCTACTTTCTTTTAAACATTCACATCAAACATAATTTTTGTTTCAGGACAATTTCCTTTAAATAAAATCACATTATTGTAGTTTTAGATAAATTTAATAAGCAAATGCATGGAGATTTGTTCATCTGGACCACTAAGTAGTGCCTGTATCCATTGTTTAGAAAGCTATTTTAAAATCATTGAACACTTCTGAAATACATGTCCTCGTAATCAGTTTGCCCTGGAGAGGGGTGTGCGATGATAGGGTGATCCACTTGGCTGTATATATTAAGGAAGATGTCTCCAAAGATCTGGAAAATCTTATGGCTTATGCTAGATGACTGCAGTGATATCATGCAGGCCATGATATTATTGTACATAAGTTAGTTCTCAGTCATTAACATATGTTTGAGGTTAATAACCTTTAAAGGTTTGAATTGCATTTGTGTAAATGTATATTATATTCCCATTCTTTAATCCATATAATGGGGGAAAAATTCAAAAAGATCCCTCTAGCAGATGTTGGAGCTGGAACAAGACTTCTTTTTGATCATTGTATTCCTTTGGAGTTAAGATGTTTATGATTTTATGATAGTATTAAGCTGAAACAGGTGTGGTCATTGGACAGTCTGGGTTATGGAGTTTTGGGTTGTGCTTTATTATCTTTTACTATTATCAGAAATCACAAGCATGTTCAATGGGAAGATGGCCGTAATACTGCAGGGGCTGTATACTGGGCTGAAATGAAGGGCTAGAAAATGCTGAAGATGCAGGGAAAGGGCTGTAAGGACACATAATCAACACTGTAGAACAGCTCTGGAATGAGTGTTGAGAGGCCACTGTCTCTGAATACGCCTGTCCAGAATAGGAACCTTCAAAACTGTGTAACTGAAATACTATCAGAAATCTTGCTGCTCTTTGCCTGGTAAAGCAAAGCAAAAAACAAAAACACATCTCTCTCCAACTTTTCTGTAACTACTGATAGATAATATTCTGTCATTAGAAGATAATTTCCATTGTCTAACTTTTTAAATTATTGTCAAATACAAACATCTTTGGAAGAGAAAATGCACCAAGGGAAAGTTTGCTAACTCAATGCTCATTGGGTCCAGTAGGCTGGGAGCATGGCCAGGGAAACTGGTGGGGACCATAGAAAAGAAGACAGCCTCAAATGTCTACTGAACAGTAGTCAAACACACACCAAAAATCCCAATATTATATATACATGTTAATAATTTTGTATACCAGCAGCAAATTAAAAATATTCTGTACCTGCCAAACTATATGTATCTAACTATTCACAGGGCCAGTGGAATATTTCAGTCAATTCCCAGAAGTTAGGAGAACTGAATTTTAATCTCAAATCTACTACTTTTTAAAAAATATTTTTTATGCTTTTTTTTTTGTACTGGAGATCAAACTCACAACCTCGCATTCACCAAGTAGGCGCATATGCTGCTGGGCTAAATCTCTAGTTTCAAATCTGCTACTTTTGAATGACCTCAGAAAACCTGGCTAACCTGTAAACTTCCTGAGACCTGAGTTTCTATCCCTGTATCAGTTAACAACCCTAAAGGAGATGACAGACTCAGAGTAAATTAAGGGGGCTTTATTTACAAGGAAATCAGTCATGACATTCCAGGCGGGGAAAGCCCAGGCAGGCCCAGCAGCAGCCCCACTGTCATCACAGCGGGCCTGAAAAATAGGGGAAGGATGAGGTTATTGAAGATGGAAGAAGACACAATCAACTGTGGTCAACCCGTCAGAGGAATGTACAAAGCGAGGGAGCCAGGGAGAAAATAACCCTGCCATTCCCTCTCTTCTAAGTGATCTTCTGCCAAGGCTTCTCATTGGCTGACCTCATGTGGAGACTACAGAGCTGGGAGCTGATAAATGCAGTTCACTCATGTCAGACCTGGGCCTCCTCGCCTTTCCAAAAAACATTTTTTTTTATTTTTCTGAATTTTAAAAATTTATTTATTATGGTACTGGGGATCGAACTAATGACCTCGCGCTTGGCAGGCAGGTACTTGTGCTGTGGAACTAAATCCCCAGCCCCAGGGCCTCTCTTTCTTTACAACATTTGAAACAACGTGTTAAATCTAGTTGGCAAGGAATTATTACTACTCAGTTTTGCCTTTTGTTTAATTTCTAAAAAGTAGACACTAAGGTGTTAAGGGCACATTCAACATCCATCGTCTCACTTCATTATTTGATACTTGAAATGAGAACGTAAAAGGGATAAATTTGGAAAAAATTCTGAGAATGTTAGATGCTTTATCCTAAAATCAGGAATCATGTACCTCATGACAAAAGCCAAAAGAAAAACAAAGCACAAAAACAATAAAGATGACAAAGCAATCAAACCAAACCAAAGTAACCTAAATTAAAGCCAAAAGACACCAAAATGAGATGACTTTTTTTAGAAGTATCATATAGCATATAAAATACAGGGGAATGTTTACTATAGACTTCTATAGTGTCTGAGAAATTTTCACAAATTTACCCTCATGAGGGAGGTAGGGATTGAAAGGTTTTGTTATTAATATTGTTGGATGCTTTATAACCATAGCATTAGAATATGCTATGAACCATTAATAGATACTATTAGTGCTTAATGTATGATCAGTGGATCAAATTCAATTTTAGTCTTTGTTTCAAAAGGTTACTAAAAATTTGAAACGAGTTATTAATTGGAAGAAAAAACTTAATAGTGTACAAATTCATTAAAAATTGGCAGGCACAGAAAAGAATAATAGGGAGTCATAGTATGTTATGTGCACATGTGAATCTGTCAAAGTGAAGACCACTAATCTGTACAACTAATAAAAAATGGGAAAAATTTAGACAGCAATGATGCTCACCAACACACAACTAAAACACAACAAATGTATTCTATGATAAACCCCATTCCTCAATGCTAGGAAAGAAAGCATCTGAATCTTCTCCTAGCTCGCGGGGTTGGCTGCACTGTTATCTATGGTGAAAATACACCTTCAGAATTAAGGTTGAAGGTCCGTGGCTTAGTGCAGGGTAGTTGCATAACTCTTCCACGATTTCAAACCATGTAATGCTCCCCCATTCACGTAGTGTCCTCCAGCAGTGGTTGGCATAAGCCACGAGCTGCACGGAGTTGTAGAAGAAGATCATCATGGTGCCACATGCAGCTGGCTCTTCACATGGGACAGAGATGATTACACTGCGGTTTCCCAGAGGGAGACACAGATCCAGGGAATGATGACAGTGGGTGCCAAGCCGCTTTAGACACACATCAAAGCTGACCTCAAAACTTGGCATTGGCGTGGAATGGTGGGCCAAGGAGCGCGTGGCTTTCAGGATTTCCAAGACTCACTTTAAGGGAAAAGCACTACAGAGCTAAAAGACCACAGACAGAAGGAACAGCTGTGCCCGGATTTGCTTAGGGTTGCACTGCCAAACACAACCTTTGGCTGTCCAAAGGACAAAAGTCAGTATCAGCTATGCAATGTCTTCTTCATCTAGAAATAACAAGGTCTGTAAGTGGAACTGTTTTCCTTTCCTCTCCTCCCACCCCTGTATATCAGCTTGCAAAACTGTACACTGGGCTTAATCTATTATTGGTAGTATTACTTGACTTGAGTACAGGTTTAGATGTTGGGATTTTAGGAGTGGGAATGCAATGAATCCATTCAAAATTCCCTTGCATTTTATTTTGATATTGTGACACAGAGGTAAAAGATACTAGAACTAAATACCCAAGTTTGAACCTTGCCTTGCTTCTTGAAGTTAATTAATTTAAGCAATGTATGTCTCAGTTTTCTCATCTGTAAAATGGAATAATTACGTCTATTTAAAAGAATACTTGTGTATAAGGGCTCATGGTGTTACCTAGTACTGCTATGGTTACTGGTTTTGGTTCATGTTTATTAGGCTCATATTAGCTAGATGGGTGGTGAGAATGCAGATTTGAATAGGGAATGTCTTCCATAAGCTCTTGGTACAGAGCTGACTAGAAACAGGATGGGGAGAAGCAGAGGAGAGATGGAAGAGTTAATAAGGTTGAAAAACAAGGCAGACAGAATCGTCTTTGGGAAACATTGCGGACGAGTTGTTTCAATTTTAAATAAGAATACAATGCTTTAGCATTTTTTGGTAGTTTTCAAAGGGAGGCTTTCTTTTATTAACTGAACTCTTTTTTTGCCTCTACAGTCCTGACTAATATTGCCTTTGCTTCCTTTACAAATATATCAGTGTGGGGCTCGCCCTCCTTGTTCATTTCTTCTGTAGAAGGAACAAGAGCAGCTTTCCTCTTGCTTCGTTTCTGACTTTGACATAGTTTCAACAAATAAGACTATTCCATCATGAATGTTTGGATTACCACTTTATTCTGTTTTCTCTTTTTTATAATTCAAATGCTTTGATGGTTCATAACCCTTAAGGGTCAGCTCTATTTCCAATATGTTCCTCACAAGAAAAGATATTATATTACCTTTCCTTGTATATATTTTACTTATTTACAAATTCTGTATGACCTTAATGCATTAGATGCATTGTAAGGCACACATTTAAAAGCACATTGCGTAAAATGAGACAAAAACAAATACATTATTTTTTTCCAATATGCCAATGGTTCATTAGAACTTAAAAAAAAAATAACAGTATTGCTATTATCTGAATACTTGTGCTCCATCTACCCCAGTTCATACATTAAAACTTAATCCCCAGTGTGCAGATAATAAGAGATAGTGATTTGGGGAAGGTGCTGAGTCCTGGGGTTCTGTCTCCAGAACTGGATTACTATTCAGATAGCAGACCTTTCAGAAAGCTAAGTAGTCGGTCCCTTGTACAGTTTGAGGGTGCTGTCTGTGAGAGGCAGGATCTGACCAGTCACTGCTTTGATCTTAAACTTCTCAGCATCTAGAACCATGATAAGGGAGTGTTTATCAGCCACCGGGTTCATGGTGTTATTGTAGCCAAAAAGGGGTCCAACAAAATGCACTAAATTAGCTGAATATAATAATCCCTGAATGATTTTGGAAAACTTAATGGAAGAATGTTATTTATTTGTACTCTACTTCTAAGCATTTCTTGCTCATTTCTCAATTCAGTTACTATCTCATAAAATGCTGGGTCGTCAGTACTTGTATGTCACAAATTGGTTTCCTTTGAGACTACGATTTGGTTAATCTACCACTTATTAAGTAATTTATTTGCCAAAACATGTTTGTGTTTGCTGAGATGGTTTTATGCAAGTAAAACCCAGAAGAAAATAATATAAACTGAAATAAAATGTGTAATACCAGTCATAAAAGCACTGGCTAAATTTCAGAGAAATATGTCTACTTTATATCAAATTATATTTCATTTCTGGTCTTGTGAGAGGATATTTGAAAGAATTATAAACAGAGGCTTTGCCGCAAAAGCTTCCAGCATGGTTTGCTGGTATAAGAATGTTTATATGGGGGCTGGGGATTTTGCTCAGCGGCATAAGCACCTGCCTTGTGAGCAGGCAGTCGTGAGTTCGATCCCCGGTACCGATACAAAGGAAAAAGACAAAAAAAAATGTTTATACATACCTCTATTATATATTTTACTATACATTTATATTAAATGTAATATGAATATATAATATTTATTCATATATAAATGTATATTCATATTATATAAATATTTTGTTTTCTAGATTTTAGAAACTTTATTCCTAATATCTGCATTTAATATGTCTATTAACTTTTCACTTGCATCTCTTTCATACAAGAAAGGCACGGCAGATACACTGAAGTTTTCATTTCCATAGATAGAAAAATATTGTTTAATTTTTGTACTAGAAATAAATATAATTTGGTAATTTTAAAATTATGTGAAGCTTTTTTCCCTATTTTGTGTTTGTTTTGCATGGGCAAAACCATTGTCACATAAATGTTAAGCCAATTCTAAACAGAAAGTGGTTCTCATTACAATACATATAAGTCTTATAGTCAAACTCTCCCAGGATGAAAATAAAAACATATGATTAGATGCTTATATCATCTATTGCTTAATCTAAATCACACAATACAGCACTTACTTGCATTAGGTTTTAGGTACTTTTCTGTTGAATTTGACAGGAATTTCTTGGAGGAGTGTACCATGTACAATCTGCATAGCTTATCTAATAGGTCAATACTCTCTTGATAAGGAAGAATTATTCTTGTTTCTCTTAAAGTACAGAACAGGTGAGGGAGTTAAGTTGACTGCTTCCGTGAGATGGACAGAGATTCTTAAGGCCCTCAGACAGCAAAGTGGTCAAAAATGTCCCCTCACACTCTTCTCATCATAGCATTGTATACCCAGCCATGTCAAAGAGGCCTGGCTACAGCACCACCTTTCTGTCAGTGCTGGGCCTGGCATCAGTTCTTGATTCTTGACTGGCTGAGGCCTGTCTGTAACAGATGAGTGTTAAATAGACCAATGATATTAATTAATAGAAAAACGAAAAGTGTTAGTGAGATTTACTGAAAAGGGCAGATAAAAAGTCAAACTGGATTCTGCATGTGTTAGGATTTTATGGAAAATCTGTTTTCTAAGGTTCATGTATTTCTAATGCTCATTATCATTTTCCAGCATTTCTTTAAGATCAGTATCTCAACTCAGTGTTAGTCTCCCAATATTCTTCTTCAGTCTTTTTGAGGTGGAAATAGGCATTCCAAATATGGTTTTGAACCTCAGAGGGCACGCACACTGCCCTTAGCACAAATAATCATTGTTTAATAAAATAGGAAAATTTCGACAATGTGTATCAAACAAAGTAGGTTTCTGTGTAAATTTAGTTGGTGAATGCTTTCTTTGATATGGTTTTCATACATTGAAATAGGGTTTTAGGGCTAGTTGAGTCAGGCAGTTCTGATTGTTCTGTTTCACTACTAATATTCTTGTAACAGTGTTCATAAAGTGTTTTGCAACCATATCCAAAAAGTTATTGATATTGATGTATTCTTTTAATTTCACCAACCTTGAGAGAACTTTATCAAACCTTTTACTTCAGCCCTTATTTATTTTAATTTGTTGTTTATTGGCTAAATTGTCTTTTCTCAGTGAAGATGAGACTTTGGACTTAATGGATCACAGCAATGGCCTAAGGTGAATAAATAGTTCCTTCTTGCACAGATCATACTATTTCTGTAAAGATAAAACATGGTACATTAACTATCAGTAATAAGATCAGGTGAATACAGATTTCAAAGTTCTATTTCTATCTCCATCTCTGAACCATGATTTGATAAAAGTCATTTCATTATTCTGCTTTGATTTTTTCATTTTGGCTAAAATGTGTTACTTGTGGAGAATCATATAACTTATCTAAGTTCTTGGGATAGATTTTGTTATCCAGTTGCTATGTTTCAAGGTCTGTCATATTGGCCAACATTAAATTAATTCTGTGTACTCATGAGCTATGTTCCATTTAAATTGTATGACTAATGCCTTTGAATTACTATCAAGGCTAAGACTCTTGAATCTAATTCTGAAGGAGAAAGCCATATAATTCAGGAAAATAAGAACTCAGATAAAACCAGAAGAAAAATATCATAAAGATAACTTTTGCTTTACTCATATGAAGTCTGGGTTCTCGAGAGCTAGAAATCTTACCAGAGGGCATTGCCAAAGACAAGCAATGTGGAGTTGTAAGGGATACACCCTCCATGGAGTACAGAAGCAGTGGCTTTTCAAGTCATAAGCATTAGCTTCATGTGAGAGCTCATTAAAAATTCAAATTCCGTGATCCTGCTGCATCAGGAAGTGACTCAAGAAACAGTATGTTTTCCCACTCCTTTGGGTGATTATGATGCTTAAATGTGAGACCCGCTGCCTTAGTGAAAGGCTGGAGAGACACCTGAGCCAGCACCAAACACGCCACTAACTAAAAGATCAAATATACTTTCAATGTATTATTGAGACTGTAGATGACCTAGTCAGCCTTGAGGGTTTTTCACTGTTGTTTGTTTGCGTTATCAAAAATTAATAAACTTTATTAAAATAAAATGGGAAGTATATACAACTCCTGTATGTTCACCCCCTACACCATAGGGCTTACGACTTCCCCCACTATTAACATCCTGCATCAAATATTTACCTTTGCTACAAGAGGTCAATCTGTGTCGGCATGCCATCAGCCACACTCCACAGTTTACATTAGGCTTCACCCCAGATGTGTGTTCTATGGATTTCTCAGTAATATGCAATTAAATGTCCTCGCACTGTTCTTTCAGGCTTGCTGGCTGAATTTCTTTTCAATGCCGAATAGTTTTTCAAAGTCTGAATGTACCATATAGTACATTCACCAACTGAGGACATCATAGTTGCCTCAAAGTTTTCTTTTTTGATTCAGTACAGTTGATTAAATTCAATGATATTCTCATTAACTTTCTACTAGCTGGATCTGCCCATTTCCAATAGATGGTGTTAATATGTCCAACTATGATAGAGGGATCACCTGTATCTGTTTACTGTTTATTTGTTTTTACCTTATGTATTTTATTCCTCTGTTAGATGTATGTACACATATTAAAAATCATTATGTCTTCTTTTAGAACTGACCTTTTATCATTATGTATTATTTCTCATTATGCTTGGTAACTTTTGTCTGAAATGAATATTCCTAATTCACACTTTCAAAAAACCAGTTTTAGTATATTTTTCTCCATCCTTTTACTATAATTTTACATGTGTCTTTATACTCACAGATAACATATAGTTGGGTCTTGTCTTTTTGACCCAATGGGACAATCAGTATATTTGGACTATTAACATTTAAGGTTATCATTGATATAGTTGAATTAATAGCTAGCACATTTGTTATTGTCCTTTCTGTTTCTATTTTGTTTTTCATATTTTTTTCTATCTTTTGGTTTTAGAGCATTAAATTTTTCCTATACATTTTATTGCAAATTATAATTTTATAAAAAAAAGTGACCATTCTTAATGTGTCCTATTTGTGAACTTATTCATTTGAATAAAAATGTATGACACATTATAAAAATGGATAACTATAAATCTATTCTGAAAACTAATCAATCAAGAAATACCTTTGGTATTTGGTGGCCCTCAAACCTAGCATCATAGACCAAAAATAAAGCTTCTGTCTTCACAGAACATACGGTTCAACGGGAAAAAAAACAATAATCTAGTGAATAATTTAATATTTTTATAAATATTGGGAAACAAATGCCTTTGGGCACTATTTATTCCTGTTCTTTCAAGAGACTTACTGATTCAAATGAGATTAGTCTGTGGGTATTTATTAGTTCATACCCCAAGGGTTTTGGGGTATGGTACAACTATAGGCTAATCAGAAATGATTACAGAAACTATTAAAGTTTCTTGAAATCTTGGAAGTTTCAAGTTTCAGAAATCTTGGGAATCAGTCTAATTTTGAATTAGCACCTTTTAGTCAAAGGTATAGAGTTAATCAAGTATTAAGAATTTCTATGCAACTCATCCAGTGCCAAATGACCACTAACATGCTGTTTTCAATTGTAGAGACTCCTTGGTTTGAGATAGAAGGCATAAAAATTGTTCCCAGCTATAAAATGACTTTATTTCACTATTTCTGCTCATCTATTTGAGATAGAACATATAAAAATATTGCCAGCTATAATATTGCCACTGAGCTTGCTCCCTAAAGAAAAAGCTTGTTTCATAATATAAGAAATTCACTGACTCAAATGAATATTAATTAAAGACATTTTAAGATCGGGAGAAATAAAATCTAAATATATAGGAAGCTTATGAAAGAACTCATCATTATAATGAATGATTTTCCCAAGAGCCCTGCTTCCATGAATGTTATTTTTATACTCTGGGCCAACTTCTCCAGTGCATACTCGGACTTTGTCATAGGTGTCAACCAACTAAACTCCAGTCCAGCTTGAAGGGCTGCTGCAATTTGCTGAAATTCTTCCTTGGCTGGTGAAAGAAGAGCAATTCCAAATGTACTGGATTCTTTTGCCAAGGTGTCCCGTGAGTTTATTTCCAAAGAACCTCTGCTGCCGACAACAATTACTCATCCTCCATGTGAGAGAAGTTTCAAATAATTACTGAGATTTACATTAATTAGCATTTCAGTAATCATATCAATCTCTTTTTCATCAAGTTTCCCTAATTTCATCAATATAATTAATCTCTCTCTGATTAAACACTTTGAGAATGTCATTTTTCAAAACAATTTTTGTCCCTTCTTAGTACCAGCTGTGCCCAAAACTTTTGAGTCATATGCTTTATCAGTGTGTTATGTTCTTCTAATGCAACTCTTCCGTTAGCCCCATGAACCAACGCGTTTTCTCCAGCCTTCAAATGGGCACTGTGGGGTAGAGCTCTACACTCAATAAAGTGTGCGATATTGATCACATTTCCTTGTCTGAATTCCAGTTTTCCAGCAGTGTGTAACCAGTGTGAGCTACTGTGAGACCATGGTTGCTTCCTGCCTTGAGATTGTGATGTTCCTAAAGTCTGCGCGATCTTTCTTGGAAGGAGATACGTTATTTCCACCAGATCCTGTTAGCCCAGTCAAGTCAGAGCCAGAAATATGGGGAAAAAATGATTTTCTGTTATAAGCACCAGAGCAATATATGTCTACACTGGCTTTGTACCATATAAGCAAGCTTTGGCTAGAATCTGATGATCTTTTGGAAACCTGTACTGTAACATCCAGCTGGAGTTTCTGGTCTACCAAATTCATAAGTTCTAACAGCTTTCAATAGTTTCTGTCCAGTTGCCATGATGCTCTAGATAGCATCTTTAGAGTGGGAACCGAAGTCTGCTAGGCTTCCTTCAGATTCCATAGGAGAAATAGGCAGGCCAGCTTTCTGGAACTTTTGCCTTATTTGAGCATTTATATATTTCCCCTTTTCTCATTTTTAAAAATATCAATTATACCGCTTTTTTTAAAAAGCCTTTTCTTAGCAATTTCCCTAGAGTCTGCCACATACATTTACAACTAAACAAGTCCACCTTTAAATCTTTAGTCACTCATGCTGCTTAATATTCCCATGGCCAAAGAAAACCACAAAAGTGAGGTGGGACATCACAGTCAGCACTCCATATCTATGCATTCCACAGCTACAGAGGAAAAATAATAAAAAAATTGCATCTGTATTGTGTATGTGCAGATTTTTTTCTCATCATTATCCCCTAAACAATGTAGTATCACAATCTTTCACATAGTAGTTACATTGTATTAGGTATAAGTAATGTTGAGATTACCTAAAATATATAGGAGGATGCACATGGATTTTTTTTGCAAATACTACACTATTGTATATAAGAAACTTGAACATCTGTGCATTTTGGTATCTATGGGGTGTCTTGAAACCAGTCTCCTCTGGATAAGAAGGCACAACTCTTGTCTTCTTTTTGGAAGAAACTACAAAAACAATTATGTTAGAGGGCAGTAGAATTCAAGAATGAGTAAAGATTGGAAGTAATTAATTAAAACTACTACAGGTATCTTCATCCAGATCCAATCTATGTCCCAGATGTTGGAGCACTACACTGACTCAATCCTTGTCAAGTTATTTGGAATTATTGATTAGGTACAGATAAAATCTTGAATTGGATTTCTTTCAATTTTCATTATACTGGCTATAAAGCATATATTATTTAGATGAAAGATTTAGAGCTCATTATTCAACATGGTTTGTCAAAGGCATTTGATACAAAGAAATAAACAAATAAAATATTTAGCTTAAAAAATCACTATCAGAATTGATTCTGATCAGACCATGGAAAAAAAGAAAAAAGCTTTCATCTCTCCAAAGACCTAAATGATGAAAGGATATCAATAAAACATGGACTCAGGTCTCTCCTAACAACTCTAAACACAGTATTTCACCAAGTTTTAAAGTTTTATCCCAAGTTTTAAAGAAAAAAACACACAATGTGTCCACTAATCAATTTCAGGTGTACTGTTTTAAGTTAGGGATATAACGCAATTGAACCTCTAAGCTATCCACCATACAATAAGGGGGTAGGATAGAGTTGACACTAAAACGCCTTCCTGTGTGATCATATTCACATTCTATTACATCTCCAAGTTGACACTGCTCATTCCATTAGGGAACTATTTGTGTTACAACATAGTATTTGGTGAAGAGCTACTTTCTTCATTCCTTCTTATTTAGGGATGGTTTTTAGCAAAACTGTAAAGTGGGCTAGACATTTGTTTGGCTTCTGATAAACTTGAAAACACCAATGAAAGGTCAGTGGACATTTAGATACTGCTGATTACCCAAATGTGTTCATTCAAGATTCTTAATAAATTTTGTGCTGTGACAGGTGCAGGAGATATAATGTTGAATAAAACAATTCCTTACTCACACACTCATGGTGAGGAGGAAATTTGTTTAACCACACTGGAACACTGTTTGGCATATCTACTGAAACTGAACATATGCATACCCCATGACCCAGTAATTCCGTTGCTATGTATAGATGCCACAGAAGAATATACATATGTTCACCAAAAGACAGTATTTTTCACGAACATTTATTTATAGAATTATTTGAAATATTTCTAAGTAGACACTACCCAACTGTATAGAAAAGCAAATAAATTTGGTATATTCACACAAAGTAATATAGATCAATAAGTATGAATAATTTTAAGTTCTCTATCACTATAAAGAAACACTTGACATAATTAACTAATAAAGAGAAACAGTTTGTTTTTCAGTTTTGGAGGTTCCATTCAAAGACTGGGTAGACCCAGAGCTTTGGGCCTCTGAAGGGAAAGGAATGGCAGTCCCAGGAAATATGTGATGGTCCCTCAGGGCCAGGAAGCAAATGAGAGGAAGAGGAAGGGCTGGAGTCCCGCACTCCTCAACACAGGACTATTCCCAATAATTTAAGACACCCCCCACCCTGGCCCCTGGCCTCGTCTTCCAAAGCTTCTATCACCTTCCAGTAGCATCATTTTGGAGACCAAGCTTTTACTACATGAACCTTTGGGGAACATTTACTGAAATCATAACATTCCAACAATATGAATCTTATAAATATTATATTAAGAAAAAGAAGGGATTGGTGGATTCTGAACCTGGAAGTACTCGGCTGTCTCTGGAGGCAACCAGTTTGCGAAGCTCTGCATGCGCTAAGGTTGCAGAATGGTCGGCGTCGGTGGGAAGCGCAGGCCCGGCAGGGATGGGCAGCAGTGTGAAAATACAGTTGATGTGAAGAAGAGTAGATCCTGTGAAGCTGATGTCTCCGGTGATCTTTGCAAAGAAGTAGAAAATCATTACAAGCTTTCTCTACCTGAAGACTTCTATCACTTCTGGAAGTTCTGTGAAGAACTTGATCCTGAAAAGCCAGCTGATGCACTTTTCACAAGCCTTGGACTACACTTAGTGGGTCCTTATGATATTCTTGCTGGAAAACATAAAATGAAGAAAATATCAATAGGCTTGAACTTTAATCTTCACTGGAGATTTTACTATGATCTTCCTGAGTTCCAGACCATTATTGTTGGAGATAATAAAACTCAGTACCACATGGGGTATTTCAGAGATTCTCCTGATGAACTTCCTATATATATTGGTACAAATGAAGCAAAGAAAAATTGTATAATTGTTCAAACTGGAGATAATGTGTTTGCTGCAGTCAAATTATATTTGATGAAAAAGCTTAAAGAAGTAACAGATGACAAGAAAGTTAGTTTCTTGAAAAACATAGATGAAAAACTCACAGAAGCAGCCAGAAAATTGGGTTACTCGTTGGAACAGAGAACCACGAAGATGAATCAGAGAGACAAGAAAGTTGTGACAAAGAGCTTTCATGGTGCGGGCTTGGTTGTTCCAGTAGATAAAAATGATGTTGGATACAGAGAACTCCCTGAAACAGATGCTGACCTCAAGAAAATTTGCAAAACAATTGTTGAGGCTACAAGTGATAAAGAGAGACTAAAAGCTTTTGCTGCATTCAGGAAATGATGACTTTTGTGCAGTTTGCTAATGATGAATGTGATTATGGCATGGGGCTTGAGGTGGGAATGGACCTCTTTTGCTATGGTTCACATTATTTTCACAAAGTGGCCGGACAGCTTTTACCTCTGGCATATAATCTGCTGAAGAGGAGTCTATTTGCAGAAATTATCGAGGATCATCTGGCCAACAGAAGTAGAGAGAACATAGACCAACTTGCAGGATAAATGAGTTTGCTTTGGTGTACAGTTTTAAACTACTAAAATCAAACTTGAAGTTTTGTTTTTAAGGAATATAGAAAATAAACTGAAGGAAACATTTACTAAGAAAAAAAAAAAAAAAAAAGGAAAAGAAAAAGAAGCCAGACACAGAATAGTCCATTCCTTATAATTTCATTTATATTAAATCTAAGAACAGGCAAAAGTAATCTTAGCTTTTAGGAAGTGTTTACATCAGGAAGTGTTTACATTTGGAGTACAGCAATTGGGGAGTTGTTGCCTTTTATGAAAAATCCTCCCTCCCTACCAAAAATGACATGGGGGAGCTTCCAGGTTAGAGAAGGAGACAAATAAAATAAATAACAAGCATCAAATGCAAGGAAGGAATTGAAGAGAATGGAGTAAATATTGAGTGTCTATAATGGGGAGAATGCACTGCTTAAAGTGATCCTGGTTTGGCAGTCACAGTCATTACACACAGAAATGTTGGGGATTCAAAACTGTGTTTGCTTCTGATTCTGAGGGAGGTACTCCATCTCTGTGAAGGCTGTAGGCTGGTCACCTGGCTGCAGTGATTTTTAGTGTGCACAGTTATGCAGCGTTCCTTACGTACTCTTGCTTTAAGAACTGTACTAATTCTGCCCACCATGCTTATGTTTGCTCCACCCCATTCTGCTACCATCTGTTCTCTCTTTTATGTCCTCTGCCCTGGAGGATGTACTAATAATCGGCAAGGCGTCTGAGGACTTACAGTGGAGATCAGCGAGACTACGAACATGTGGGTGGCTGATACTTTGACTTCACCATAGACAAACATAATTTAAATCTATTTATAAGTTTTAGTAATTGAGATCCAAATATTGCATGAATTTTTTTCAAACTTCAAAATCATTTTTTTTCTTTTGGTGGCTATACTTAGGCATCTGGGAAATTTCTGGAATATATTTTAAAATGACAGTAAAATCTGTCCATTTTAAAAGATCCCCACTGTGTTGCTGCAATAAATAAATATTGATAGATTGAACTCTAAGTTCGACTTTAGTCACCCACCTAGAAGTAGGTTGTGTTATACCAGTTGGCCTGTGAAAGATCCCTGAGGCCCCAGGACATGCAATGCACTAATGAGGAAGCCTTCATCTTCACTTTTTTTTTTTTTTTTGCAATTAACTTGTGACCAAAAAAACTCACTTTTTATAATTACAAACAATTTTTAGAAGCACAAAATGTGTTTACAGCATGCTGTTAATATGCAACAGACTATGTAACCTCCCAGAGATGTAATCCTGATGGATGAGGAAAAGATTCATCTCTGTTTACTCCATGCTCCCAAGTTCTTAGCCTGGTCCCCAGAACCCTCTGCATGTCGCTGGCTGTCATGCTGCACCATCAGCATGAAAAATCTACTGATCTTGAATCAACTGAGTCTCCAGTCTGCTAAGGAGATGATAATTTGAAGTCTGTTTCTGACAAGAGCTATTTTAAGTCTACTATTGACTATTTGGGATCCAATTATCTATGATCTAAGTATCTAATTCTCTTTTTTCAAAGCTTTGCCTCTCCTCATCTCTTGCTCCTTGCTTTCTGGCTAATTCACTCCCCATTAATTGAAACAAATAAGAAGTCTATAGATAGGGTAAGAAAAAAGAAGAGACTTAACTGGCCAACGTGAACTGCTGAATATAACTCTAGACTTAGGATTTTTACAATAAAAGCCAGGCAGGTGTAAAATTCTTCAACTGACTCAGAAAAGTAGTATTTAGGAAAGTAAGAAAGATTGCATTTAAATTTAAACATTAGGGAAAGCAAATTTAAACAGTTCAGAAAATACGATTGTTTTCTAAATTTTAAGATTCAGTTTCTGAAAGTAAATGTAATGGTATCTTGAATGGTTAATTTTTAAAATACATTTTATAACTTTTTCTGATTTGTTAAAAACAATTTGTTAGAGCATATATTTGGAAGAAAAAAGTGAAAGTTGTCCAAAGAAAGGCATATGCTTGAGAATGGATGTACTTCTGTTCAAACACATGATTTTTTCTTTTTTCAAACACAAAATTATGGTTTTCAGAAAAATAGGAGCTTAGATAAATTCAAATTTTAATCAAATGTACCCATTGTTTACATATATTCAAAATAAATCTGTACACACATAAATGCAGGAGAGAAATTTCGGTGTTACTTGGATAAGGGAGAGCTTAAAATATTAGCAATAAATTTAACACAAACTCTAATTTTCCAATCTTTTCTATAATGAAAGAAACTGGGGAAAACTCATTGAGCTCCATCAAATAAGTGGTTAAGCAAACACCTCAAAATATATGATGAGTACTTTGATAGTTTTTTGATAGTTGATTCCTCTAGTCACTAAGTATTTGAGTACATAGCATATTCAAGGCACTCTTCAGTCAAAGGAGATGATGCAGAGATATGGATAAACTGTTGTCCAGATAGCTTTCCTTATGCAGAAAAATGACCAAAAAGCACCAAATTGGGAAAAATTCAACAGTGCAACCATAGGGAACAGAACACAGAAACTGCTTTAATGATTAACTGCCAAACTTCCAACACTTCTGTGGGTGGCAGGTTGACTGCCTAGACAGGTATAAATCAAGCATTCACTCAGAGCAGCTTTGCCTTTTTATTTATAAAAGTGCTCAGGGGCACACGAGTTGGTACTGGTTGGAACCCCTCAGACATCATAGCATTTCTTTCTGAAAAGGAAGGGCAACCTGGAAAACAGAAGGCCACCGTTCCTTCATAAGCAGCTTCTTTTTTTTTTTTCTTCTTTTTTAAGAACTCATAATGGGTAAGACATTGTGTTAGACACCAAGAAGAATTCGATAAAAGTGCAAGGCAGAGAGAAATTCCATTTCTCCCAGTCAAATACGATTTGGCAGGAGAAGATGGTTCATAAACCAAGAAATAATAAGAAATGTTAGCAATGTTCTTTAGAGTTCATGGCAAGTTTTCACATATATGCTACATAAACATTTTATTCTGAACACAGTCCTGTGACGTGAGACAGGGAAATGACACTGTGATGCCCAATTGTTTATAAGAAGAAATTGAGCTCAGTAAAAGTGAGAATGACTTTCTCCAATATCACAGTGCTAGGGATGTAGTAGGACTTAACTTGGTTCCTCACACTTGATGATCATTTAGGTCATCACATCTTGTTTTTTGCACAAGATTGTTAATGGTACGGTATATAACTTATTCTTTTACTTACACATTTACTGAACACTTGTTATTGTCTAGCTACTGCAAAAAGTGCTGGACATACACAAATGAGCTATTGTCTGCTCTCAAAGTGTCTACATATATATGAATAGCACTTCGTATCTTACAAAACCCTTCACAAAACAACAATCAACATATCATTGTTACTTATATTTTGCAGATGAGAAAACAGAGGCTTAGAGAAATTTTATGACTTACCAAAGATCAAAAAGATAGTAGGGACTCAGGAAGGTGCAAAGGATTAAAAAAGAAGAATTAATAAGTGTTACATACATGTACCAACTCCTCACGATAAATGTAATCACTTTGTGCTGCAAATATATACTAATAAGAGAAAAGACAGAAAGATCTGAGGAAGGCTTAGTCATTGCTTAAGCAAGAGATGAGTATGAAATACAGGACATTAGCTCTAAATTTTGTTGGACATGTATCTCTCACTAAAGACCCTTCATCATGTACTAGCACACAGTTTTAGTATGCATCTCTTAAAGGTTTATATAGTATATGTGTATTGCTGTACCAATGCTACTCTACAAAAACTCATAAAAATACAGGCAGAAGTTTTACTATTTACTTCCTGTTCTCTCGTGAATTATTTCCCATATCTTCAAGGGTACACATACTTCTCTGGAGATCACAGCTGTAATAGATCATGAACACTGAACAAGTGTTCAAAGGGGTCAGTCAGTGAGGGAAAGTGGCAGTTGTCCTGA